GGAGAAACCATTAGGGGAAGGGGGCAAGACAAAAGAGAAGGGAGGCAATCCAAGCAAGGGTACACTATTACAGTGCACTATCGTGAAGAAATAGGCCCATAGTCACTTTGGCTCAACCCTACAGGGGTACTCTGGAGATAAATTGGGTTACAATTCAAAATTGTTGTCATCATCAGGGCAAAGGGGGTACTATTTGAAAGGGGGTACTATTTGAAAGGTCTAATCAGACATTTCCAGTTCTCCCATGCATGTAGGCAAAGACAGGTTCTAGCAGTCTGGGGAAACTCTCTAAAGAGACATGGTATGGACTGGAGTGAAAGCACACTGGGAGTGTACATGAAAATGGCATAAGGATCTATTTGCTTTAAAATAATAACTTACTGAGAATTGTTATTATAACTTACTTGAGGATGAGGCAGAGAACTGATAGCTCCTACCACAGCTTTTAATAAAAGGTAATATTTATGCTATGGTTTTGATATCTGACTCCTCCAGATTTCATGGTGAAATTTGATCCCCAGTGTTGAAGGTGGGGCCTAATGGGAGGGCTCTGGGTCGTGGAGGTAAATTCCTCATGAATGGCATGGTACAGTACACATGGTAATGAGTTAGTTCTTATTCTATTAGTTCCAAAGGGAACTGGTTGCTTAAAAGAGTCTGGCACCTCCTGCTTCTCTCTCTTGCTTCCTCTCTTGCCATGCAATCTCTGCACATGTGGATTTCCCTTTCCTTTCCACCATAAGTGAAAGCCTCTTGAGGCCTCACCAGGAACAGATGCTGGCACCATGCTTCTTGTACAGCCTGCAGAACCATGAGCTAATTAAACCTCTTCTCTTTATTAAGTTACTCAGCTCAGGTATTCCTTTACAGCAACACCAACGGACTAAGAGAATGAATCCTAAGGATACAGACAGGCAAGGTTGTGGTTGTGTGTGTGGTACAGCATTTACTATAAATAACATGAAGAAAGAACTTTGTATCAAAACTTTATTTATTAAACAAAAAATGCACCATTGGAATAACATTTCTATAAAAAATGAATATGAGACTGTTCTACAGTGATTACAAAACCCCCTTTTCCTTGTGTAGTAGTATACAAGATCATGTGTAGAAACAGTCATTGTTTTAAACTGTAAGCAAGTTTCCTTTCTCGTAGAACAAGATTTACACTTAAATATTGCAATCACTAGTCTAATTTGGTTAACAATGCTAGAATTTGACAGTTTAAAGAAACTTTTTGTAGGCTCAAAATACCTTTTTGTTAAAAAAGGTGTTTTGCAACAACAAAAAATTTCTTTTCTCACTAAGGCTAGTTAAAGCTGTAGTATACCCATTTCTACCAAATAAACTTATCACTAGCATACTAACAATCTGTTTGAGTTGCAAAGCCCTTTGAATGAGTAGCACTGATCTGCAAAATGCCTTCAGAATTATTTAGGTTTGGTGTTATCTTCTTTGAATGACCCTAAAAAGGGAGAAGGTGGTGATGATGGAACTTCAGTGAAGGCTTTGCCTGGACTAGACATCTCTTCATACTCAGCAATGGACAATTCATTTCCAAAGTGGTCCCTCTGAGATATGGAACACCACAGCTTTAACAGCCGTATCTAGATCCCAACCAGATCTCCCCTTTTATCATAAATTATCCAAAAAGAAGCCACTCTAAATAATAAATTAAATATTACTTATAAAAAGTACATCCCATACCCACCCACCCTTCCCCCAAACAAGCTGACAATTCACAAAGTTCAGAATTGTCAGATTTACCCTACAATAATAAAAAACAGCATTTCTCCTCCTCTCCAACATTCCTTTCTTGCATCTGAAAATACACGTTCGGCACACAGTGAGATCCCTCGGCCCATGCCTCTGTGTTTATTAAATCTTGCAGAGTTTTGCTCTTGCTCTTCTACCAACAAAAATCATAGGATGACAATGTATAAAGGCTCTCTAGTGAGAGCAAGAGAAAAAAGTCCTTCAGAGAGTGCAACTGGAAGTCTGCCAGGTGAACGTTTGCAATAGTGGCAACAAAGACTCCAGATCAGTAGTAATATTCATTTGCTGATATGGGTGTGGTATTTTGTCTTTTACATAACCTTACTGACCAGGAAATAGGCATTTTTTTTTCCCCCAAATCGATTCTTTTTGGCAACAGGTATTTGGATAGCAAGATACATTGAGGCATGGGTACACATATTTTGCATTGGAATGGAATATCATACAAAACACCTATCTATGATTTTCCAAAGTATTCAATTTAATTTTAAACACTGGACTCAAAAGCTTTTCTATACAATACTAAAGTGATTTCTGAAAGTCACCAGAGAAATGCAAATTATGGGTAAAATGTTGCTTTGAATGTGATTTACAAAAAGAGAGAGGGTGTAGACTTGAGTGTATGACTACTTCTGCATCTCCAGGAAGTTGTGGGCTCTGTATTGTAAATAGTTATGAGCAGGCTAGGATAGTAACCTCTGGCCTACAGGACTGCCTGTGGTTGCATGAAGTAAACTGAGTGAAAGGGAAGGTAACCCTGCTCCACATCTATTTTAAAGTTCAGATGATTTTGTTTTCTTTAAACACATCTGAAATTAGACAATTTTTCCATTTTTCCTATTTTCATTGACTAGAAATGGACATTCCAAAACCATAAGAATTCTGGGACACAATTTTATCTAAAATGGTAAGGTGTTATCTTTAGAGGTAACCTTTGGTTGTAATTACAGTCCAGCTGCTGTATCTGAGATACCATATTACATTTGGAGACAACCATAAGATGATTATTTAAACAAAGTCAACAGAAGTACCCAAAGGGTGGATAAGTATCAGCAATCATCTTCAAGCACAGACACTAACAGCTTCCAGAAATACCTGTACTTAAGAGATTCTTTATTGGAAAAGGCAATAAGTGCCAAATTTTTTAGTTTCAGAATGTTGTCTGAAACATCACACTAGCACAGGCTGGCTCTCCTTGTGTAGCTGGAACCAAGGCAGGAGACTGAACATACACACCTAATTTTGAATAATCCTTATTTTGAAGAAACTAAGAATATACTCAACAGGAATCCTTAATAAATCTCCACTTATATCACTGACTTGGTATTTTTTTTCAGATTGTTCAATTGAGTATGCATTTTATAATTCCCAAATGTAAAGTTTCATTATTTAAATATTCTCGAAGCTTGTATCTCTGTTATTCGAAGAGGCAAGTATGACTGGTTTCTTATTGGCTATAATTCAGTACGAAACATTTAACTTTTTGCTAGAGCATAATCCAAATATTCTTTATACATTTGAACTATCCAAATTTTTCTAAGTTTCACAAATGCAGAAATTTCTGCAGAGGAAAGAAAATAGCTTTCTTATTAGGGTGAAATATAAAGAAAAATACCATTTTTTTTTTTTTTTAAAGAAGAGGATCTTGCCTGACATTTCAGCACATTACAGGGCAGACCAGAGAATGCTCTGTCAAATATGATTTTCTTCTTTTTCAGGGAGAAATGAGTTCTGGTGGTAGAGCTGCTGGTTGGCTGTCAGGTATCACCTAATGGGAATCAGATTTATGAGCATAAAGAGTCCTGGATACCATGAACTAGACTCAGTAGGAGGAAGTCAGAGGCTAGTTTGCAGTATTCACAGGTTTCTTCTTGTCAAGAGATCAGTAGACTGGGAAATTGATAAGTTACCTGAAAACTTGGGCAGGAAATTGTATATATATATGAATCATTTGAGGGTAAAGGGAACAGAGTTATACGAAAGTTGTGGTGACATCATTGTATATTAATACTACCAGGTAAATGATACTGCAGTTTTTTGAGGATGTTTAAATTGATTGTATTATAGATTAAATGCATGGTGCTATTATTGGCATTGCCAGTTACTAAGATAAACCATTGTATTTATTTAATGAAGAAAGTTTCAAGAGCATGCAGCAGAAATGTAACTTCCACTGAAGACAAATAACATATATTTTAAATGGATTTTTAAAAATTTTATTTCCTAAATAATTATTTTTGACTAGAAGGATCTAGAAATTTGTGAAAATGATAGTTTTTTTTTTTTTAATTGATCAACTATATTCTACATATTGAAGGTGTGACTCAATCCCTAAAATCTGAGATGTGCAACCTATTCCAAGCTGAGCACTCAGGATTACCCTCATGGGGGTCAAGTACCTAAAGAGAATGTTCCATGTTTGCTAGAATTAGAAAGGGGAGGTAATAATTCTTAGGGCCTAGAGAAAGTTGGGCTAGCCCAATGGATATTTTCTTTTTTGAAGTAATGGATTATTTCTGAATCATTCAATATTATTTTAGGAAACACTTTATTCCAGGTCAGTAGAAGGTTGTCAAACTAAGTGCCCAGATGTTAAATAAGAGTAATCTGTCCCATAGAATAACATCACATAGCTCTTCAGAAAGACTTCCAGAAAATCTGAGTAAATTGAATGAGCACTCTTGTTGAAGGAACAAATTCGCAAATGGACCGGACTTTCTAATGAACCATTTGAACAGCCCTCTCTTTGACATCAGATTTTCTTCCCGACATAAAACTGTAAAAAAATAATCTGAATTATTACTTCTGTTACAGTGCCATTTTGCTCAAAATATTTTATTCAGGGATTCATATATAATTACCCACCTAATAAAAGGAGCTATTAGGTTGTAAAGATTCTATCCCTTCCATGCTCTTTTAAAATTATGATCTACTCAAGCTTGAAATCAAAGGTAGAGCTGAAAGGAATAATTAAGCTGAAACTCTCCCATTGGGTTTTCAAGTCACCTAACTGATAAATATGCAAACTCGCTCCCTTTTGGCCATTCAGCTACATAAACAGGGATTAACTACAAATGCAGCTGAAAATTCAGAAACTAAAAGGCTGCACACAAAATGTTCTTAATTTTAGCTAGTTCCAAGCTGTAGATAAACATGGCAATAGAAGTTTAAAACCGTAGTCCACAGTTTAAGATGCTGCTTTGAAAAGCATCTGCTGGATTTATGCGTCAGAAGTGTCAGGTGGCACCTACCCCTCTGCTTTCTCCTGACTCTGACACAGGTGTGGTGTAAAAGATTTCCTTAAAAAAAGGGTCTGGTGGCCAATGCTTCCCAACACTGACCCTGTCTGTAGGCAGAGTTGGCATTCTTTAAGAGAAGGTACTGTTAGAAGTTACCTTTTATATTCCTTCTCTTCCTCGGGGCCTGCTCTCAGGGAATCTGCCATTTCTATGGGAGTAGAAGACAGGCGACATTGGCCAGTGCACCATATGACATGTGGAGCTGGCCATTTCACCCAATGCTAGTTGCCAAGGAGAACTCAGGGAGGGATGGGGTGAAGGGGTGGGGGCATTCTTCTGGCCAAACTCCTAAGGAAGATGGCCTTGGTGAAGCTTTGAAATTGCATCACAGTGTGGTATGGCACAAAAGCCACCCAAATTGAAAAGTGTCCTATTACAAGCTTAAGCATATAATTACCATGTGTCTGAGAAGGCTGTATATTATGTCCTCTTTCCAGAAATGTACTGCTGCTGGCAGAATGCCACTAGTTGCAGATTTTTATGTTCCTGGACTCCAAACATACATATTAACCAAGGGTGGATTTACAAATACTTGCCAAAATAGGTGAATTTTTAGCCCCTCACTAATATCCACCACTTATGCAAGATGAATGACTGAGTTACAAACATAAGCATTCTCTGCCTTTTGTTTGTTTACTCTTTACTTTTTGTGCTGTAAGGAAAACATCCAATCCTTTGGTGCTATGGCATGAGAGATTCCCATGGGTGCTTTGTATGTTAAAGTTGAAAACAAAATAGTGAGCTTGCACTGGTTTGCCATGGCATGGTACAGGCTTAAATAATGCACTTGCATTTTGTAAGACTAGACCTACACATTAAACAACAGGCCTTGACAAAGGAAAACATAGGCATTAGTTATGACAGTGTGGTCACTGCAGTGGCAAAGGCCCAGGACTATTCTAGCAGCTTAAACTTTGACGTTGCAGTGAAAATGCATCTTTGCTTTTGTTTAGGGACCTCATAGTCATCATTTGACAATTCCTGATGCCTATGAAAGAAGGAATGCTTATTCCTTCTGAACTGCTTTAGGATCTTCCTTAATTGAGTGGTCCTGATGGGTAACCTGTACACTGGTTAGAGTTCTTGGACACAGGTGTGCTGTTTATGGGTAATTGGTATGCTGCAAAGTTCCTGGAAAATTCACCTCATCCATTCAGAAATACATGTTAAAAGGCTGAGCCTGTGATGGCATTAAGCTGCTTCATGAGTCCTTCCAAACTTGCCATTTGTTCACTCAGATCATCCTGTTCATACACCTATAAAGAGAATGAGAGCCAAGAGTTACTACCAAATATTGATCCATTTGTTTTATGAAGCCTGGGGCCACAGCTAGTTGGGGCACTTAGTTTTCTCAAGTCTGACCTAGGAGACCACAGCCAGGGCTGTCCTAGGAATATATTCATTGAATGAAGATGCTGGTAATAAAAAAGGGATAGTAAGAGATGGAGTTTCACTCACTCCATCTCCATCTGTGACAATGAAGATATTTCAGAGTCAAAAAGACTTGGTTTCAAATTAAGTTCTCCCAATTATTAGCTGTGTGGTCTTAGACAAGTGAGTGCACCTCTCTGATACATAGTGTTCTTCATCTATAAAATGATAATGACATCTATTTCATAGGCTATTCTGAGCCTCCTGTGACATGTTTAGTGCCTATGATGGGGTCTGGCATATGGTGGATATTCAATACATCAGTTCCTGTTTCTCTTACTAGATGACCCATCAAGATATGAACAGAGAAGAATCAGACAGGTACACTCGCTGTTCAGCAATATTCTATCTTCTGCAGCCTCTGCTGCTGATACCCAGGCAAACAGGGTCTGGAGTGGACCTCAAGCAATCTCCAACAGACCTACAGCTGAGGATCCTGACTGTTAGAAGGAGAAAATATTTGCAATCTGTTCATCTGACAAAGGCTCTAATATCCAGAACCTACAAGAACTCAAAAAATTTACAAGAAAAAACAACCAACCCCATCAAAAAGTGGGCAAAGGATACGGAACAGACATTTCTCAAAAGAAGATATTCCATACAGCCAACAGAACACATGAAAAAAGCTCATCATCACTGCCAATCAGAGAAATGCAAATCAAAACCACAATGAGATACCATCTCACACCCAGTTGAACAGGGAATCATTAAAAAGTCAGGAAACACAGGTACTGAGAGGGATGTCGACGAGAATAGGAACCCTTTACACTGTTGGTGGGGATTGTAAAACTAGTAACCCCATTATGGAAAACAGTATGGTGATTCCTCAAGGATCTAGAACTAGAAGTACCATATGACCCAGCCATCCCATTACTGGTTATATACCCAAAGGATTATAAATCATGCTGCTATAAAGACACATGCACACGTATGTTTATTGCGGCACTATTCACAATAGCAAAGACTTAGAATCAACCCAAATGTTCCATCAGTTGCAGACTGGATTAAGAAAATGTGGCACATATACACCATGGAAATACTTGCAGCCATAAAAAAGGATGAGTTTGTGTCCTTGTGTAGGACATGGATGCAGCTGGAACCATCATTCTCAGACAACTATGGCAAGAACAGAAAACCCAAACACTGCATGTTCTCACTCATAGTGGGGAACTGAACAATGAGATGCTTTGACTCGGGGAAGGTTACACCATCACACACAGGGCTATCATGGGGATGGAGGGAAGGGGGAGGGATTGCATTGGGAGTTATACCTGATGGTAAATGACGAGTTGATGGGTGGCTGACGAGTTGATGGGTGCAGCACACCAACATGGCACAATATACATATGTAACAAACCTGCACGTTATTGCACCATGTACTCTAAACTTAAAGTATAATAATAATTTAAAAAAGAAAAAAAAAAAGAATGAAGAATGAATGTGCTTCCACCATGTAATTTGAAGTTAAAATATTGCCAATCATTAGAAGTGTTATTTTATTGAGTTATATTATATATAAGCAATGATGAACGTATTATAAAAAATAACAACCACCCCATC